TTTATTTAAATGTGTACTACTCGCGTAGACTACAGACAGTGTTGCTCACGACGTCGGTCGCGTAGACGTTCGTGGATTTTTTTTAGATTCTTCAATACATATTTTTTGGGTATCTTGAACCTTCGGAGCGTACGCATCGCAAACCTGCAAAGATGAAAAATTTTCCCGCTTTTGTTACACATACCGCTCTTTCCTTGCTCCTATTAGTCACTGCGTAATGTTTTATAGCCATAAAAATATTATTTCAATTTGAACCACTTGTTCCTGAGATTAGCACGTCCTAACAAGCAAACTAACTCTTCAGCTTTATATATTAGTATTGATTTTTACTTTTGTGGTACTACATATGTTTTTATAAGGGAGAAATGTCTTTTTGCATAGTGGTGATTTTTATTCTTAAATTGTATTTTTTTTATTCTATTTATTGTAATTCTTTAGTATTAATTTAAGTTGTAAATTATGTTCAAGTATTTGTGTTAATAAACGCATTATTTATTTATTACCTCAGTGTATTTGCATATAATAATTTACGAACCTAATATAACAATAAATGTTTAGTCAACCATCAAATTTTCTGAATACTTCTTCGAATACCGCAAACTCATCGCCTGTATTTTATAGGGCCGTGAAAATATAAACTTTAGGTAATTGGGACATATTATTTGAAATTATTATTGATAAATATTTTTATACTCCATATCTAATTTAGTTAAAGCGTCACTATATTGTCTGAAATGTCTGTGTTTGTTTATGGGGAAAAAAAAAACAAATTTTGAAACTTATGAACAGACACAACATGTAAAGAAATGAAAAGTGAAGACTAGTTTGTACGAAATAGAAAACATTTGGTACAATATGGTATTACTATAATACAAATATATAACTAATTATATGCACTTAAGGTAAAAATACAGCATACATTTTACTAAGAGGGCTGAAGATAGCATGGTACAAGGTTCGTACATGATCCTGATTTTCGGACAGTGGTGGTGGTATAGTATTTCGTCATTCTTACCACTCACGCACACACACACATTTGAGATCCAGGTTTTGTAGTACATGTATTATATGTTTTTTATTGGCCAAACATTTCAACCTGTAGTGTTTGAGTAGAACCTACAGTCCTTAGTACGTATGACACTGTCTCGTGCCTACTGTGTGGCGGGGTGCGCGGTCATTGCAGCGAGAGCCAAGGGGCGAGAGCGGACGTGTCGCCTGCGCACACAGTGAGTTGCCGAGCCAGTGAGATTGCATTATAGGGGCACTACAAGTGGCGACGAGGACAAAGGTCAGACTATTTAATTTATATAATTCAAATTGAAATAAAATAAAAGGGGTCAATGTACTAAAAAAAAAGAAATAATAATGATAAAATCATGAACACTCAAACCATTGTGAAATTACCTACAGGCAATTACAACCGCTCAAGAGTACAAGTGCATTTGTTTATTTCATTCGTGACTCGTTTTATTAAAACTATGTTAATATCGCTCATTGTTCTTTATAGTTGTCGAATTTAAGTAGCTACTGCCTATATTGGCATAATAGTGTCCTTATCGCTGGTGTCGCAAACAGGTTGTTACAAATTTTAGTTTTAGACTCCGAATAAATAACTACCCGCCGGTTCGCTGCAATTTCTAAACAACATAGTGCGGGTGCAGATGTTCATAATTATTATTCAATGTAAGTGCGGACCCGATAAAAGTTTTTATTTTGTTTCTATAATAATAATAATTTATTTGTCGGACCATAAATCCATACATTAATTTAATTAATTCTAATGTGCGTTAGTTGGGTTAGTAACAATTATAACTTAAAATGTATATTAGAATGTGTTAGTCACTAAAATTAAGTAGACAGAATACATAGAATAGGTGCTAGGCGCTAAGGGGGAGCATGGACGTCACTCCATCGTTTTAGCAGCACCGTATACTTTTCACACACTGCCTCCAGAATGCTTATGGTGCTTTGTCGAACTCGATACATGAGGGAAGCTACACGCTTGCGGATGATGGCGTGGAAAGCAAAGTCTATGGGTCGGTATACAATATAGTTACTATTTATGTTTATTACAATTATACCTTAAGTTATATTAATTACGTACCCTCTAAACTGTTACAAGTGGTTTTAGACATTTATTAAAAAATGTACACATTCACTCATTACTAGGTTAACTAAATATTACATTCAAATTTGGACAGTATTGTTATTTAACACAACTATAAGAAGGAGGTAGTTGAACAGTATGTCTTGGTATTATTATCTAGCTTTGACGTCGTCGGCGCGAACGCAGCTGATCGAGTAAACATACAAAGATAAGCGATACCAGATGGTGCATTCGCACATCACATTAAGTTTATTATTTTTCTGTATTATTTCTAGACAGAAACATCTAGTTTTATAGTTTCATGAATTTGATTTACTTATAGTATTTTCTGTTTTTGCTTGAGATATATTTTTTATTTGTTGTAGGTTGTATCTGTGTGCGAAATTTACTTGTTAATTATAATAAATTTAATTTACATGTTTTTTAGTAAATGTTCTTTTATTTTTGTTTAAATAATTTGTAGGAGTTTATTTGTTTAATTTTATTTTGGTATATTGTTATATATTTTGGCGTATATAAGTACCCACTATATCAACTTAAAATGGAATTGCAGACGTTTTTATATAAATCTACTAGTGTAAAATGTTACATCGCCCACTTCTATAATTTTGTGCATATTCATGTATAGCTAGTTAACTCCAAAAAAATGGTACAATGATACCCCCATTCGATTGGAAATAAGTGGTACAGTGATACCTCCATTAAATTGGAAATCAATGGTATAAAATACCCCCATTCAATTGGAAATTTGTGGTTAATTACACCTCCAGTAAATTGGGAGTCAATGGTATAAAATACCACCATTAAATTGGAAATTTGTGGTTAATTACACCTCCATTCAATTGGGAGTCAATGGTATAAAATACCACCATTAAATTGGAAAACATGGTAGTTTATACCACCATTAAATTGGAAAACATGGTAGTTTATACCTCCATTAAATTGGGAATCTGGCACGTAAGTACCACCATTAAATTGGAAATACATGGTAGTTTATACCTCCATTAAATTGGGAATCTGACACATAAGTACCACCATTAAATTGGAAAACATGGTAGTTTATACCTCCATTAAATTGGGAATCTGGCACATAAGTACCACCATTAAATTGGAAAACATGGTAGTTTATACCTCCATTAAATTGGGAATCTGGCACATAAGTACCACCATTAAATTGGAAAACATGGTAGTTTATACCTCCATTAAATTGGGAATCTGGGACATAAGTACCACCATTAAATTGGAAATACATGGTAGTTTATACCTCCATTAAATTAGGCATCTGGCATAGAAGTACCACCATTAAATTGGAAATTTACAAACAAAATCGCGAAAGGTTTTATTATTTTTTATGTCGCGCCTTTCAGCTCATGACAAATCTACCTACATTGGAAAAGTTGGATTTGGAGGGAGATAGTCATTAGGCCATTTGGAAAAAGTGGAAACGTTCATTAAATATATACTAAGAGGCTACAGATATAACAACACCGATGAAAAAAGGGCGACACTTCTACTTCTTATTGGATCGGGCCTTCAAGAAATTTTCTATAGTTTCCCGGGTGCCAATGCTACACCCTCTGGTGATAATAATGTTTTTGACATAGCTATTCAGAGACTCGACGATTATTTCACTCTAAAGCAAAGCAAAATTTATGAAAGACATTTGTATCGTTTAATAAGACAAGACGAAGGTAAAATATTCGATAAGTTCTTAGTAAGGCTGCGGAATCAAGCTGAAAAATGCCAATTTGATAAACCGGACGATCACCTAATCGATCAAATAATAGAGAAGTGCCTCTCTGTTGATTTGTGAAAGAAAATTTTGACAATACGAGATAGTGTAACATTTAGACAAGATAATCACAGAGGCTAACACTCTAGAAGTTGTAAAACGTAAGTTGGAAGAATATGGTCAGCTAAATAAATGAACAGAGGTGCATGCAGCGGAGTCTTCAAAAAATAAAGGAAGATTTAGCAGGAGTAGGTCCAGGTCAAATTCAAATAAAGGGTGTGGCAGATGTGGAAATTCGAGACACTTGTCATGTTAAAAACTGCCCGGCGTTAGGCAAAGTATGCTATGCATGTGGAAAAATAGGCAAGCAGTATTACAAGACAGGTATTCAGAAAAAGGAAATTGGAAGGAACTGATAGGAAGCGATGGAAAAACCTAGTAAATATCCCAGCCTAGAATCAAGGTAAAGTTTAAAAAATATAACAGATGATGAAGTCGATTATGTTTTTAATATCAATAATGATGCAAATATAGAACGTGATGTGGGTATAAAAAAAAAACTAAAATGTTGATTGATTCCGGATCTAAATATAACCTAGTCACTGACAAAATATGCATTGCACAACAAAAGCTTTAAAAAAGAAATGAGTTGCAAAGCTTTTTGGGCTTCTTAACAACGACGACAGAGCCATTGAAACAATTATTTAGGAAGAAATTTGGCAAAAATGCTAATATCGAGGAGTTATGGACCCAAGAACAGAATCAGGCTTTTGAGAACTTAAAAAAAAATAATCTCTGACCAAAATTCAAAACCTTGGATACTACGACATAAACGACAAAACCCAGGTTATTGCTGATGCCAGCCCTGTCGGATTAGGCGCAGTTTTGGTTCAAATTGATGCCAACAGACCCCGAATTATTGCTTTTGGGAATTGCACATTAACCGAATGCGGCCAAACTGAAAAGAGGCTTTGGTTTTGGGTTGGGCTATAGAGCATTATAATATATTTCTATTCGGCAAGGAGTTCGATTTAATCACTGATCATACACGTTCGTTCGTTCGTTTTGTTTGGAGTGAGGTCAAAACGTTGTGCTAGGATAGAGAGGTGGGTACTACGTTTACAGGCGTATTGGTATAACATCATATACAAGCCTGGAAAGATGAACATCGCAGATCCATTATCACGACTGTGCATAATCTCAGATTGCGAAAAGACCAATGACGACGAACATGTCAACCAGATTGTAGAAAATGCTAAACCATGCGCAATTTCTTTGACCGAAATTAAAATGCATTCAGAGCAAGATTCGGAAATACGTTAAGTAAGGCAAGGTATCTACGACAAGAACTAAGAAGATAATGTCATAGGATATAAGATCTTCGAAAATTAATTGTACTTTTTCGGTGATATACTCCTAAGAAGAAATAGAATAGTTATAGCATCCGTATTTCGGAAAAGAGTTCTAGACGCTGCACACGAAGGTCACCCTGGGATTGTCGGCATGAAATGACGGTTACGGACCAAAGTATGGAGGCCAAAACAGACAAGGATTCTGGATGCCTGGTATAGAGTTGTAAGGGCTGTACTTCAGTAGAATTACCAATTCCGCCAGCTCCTATGAAACGTCGGGAACTCCTAGATGCACCTTGGGTGGATATAGCAATGGATTTACTAGGGCCATTACCCAGCAATGATTATTTATTAGTCGTAGTAGATTATTATAGCCGTCACAAGGAAGTGAAGATAACGAAGACCATTACTAGTTGTAATAATCAAGCTATTGAAAGAAATATTTGGCAGCCTAGGTTATCCATCATCAATAACGGCAGATAACGGCCGACAGTTTGTGACATTTTTGCAACGAATGTAATATAAAACTTTTTAGTACAGTGCCTACTGGCCTCAACAAAATGGCGAAGTAGAGAGACAAAACAAAAGTATTGAGAAAAAAGATTTACAAGATAGCTTGAATGACTTCCTCAAGATGTATAATTCAACACCTCACTCTGTAACAGGGAAAACACCAACAAAATTGTTTTACAAAAGACAGAACTTAGAGGCAAAAATAAAGAACAAAAAGAGAGTAGAAGGCGAGTGGATATCAATGCAAGATAATTAAGAACCTAATCTGACAAACAACAGTAGAAATAAAAAAAAAAAACAGTGAGTTACAGTAAATTGTTAACTTATATACTATTAAGAGTAATCAAGGTCAATTGTATCAAATGATTAAAAAAGTTTTGATAAGAAAGAGATGTAGTGTTTGAGTAGAACCTACAGTCCTTAGTACGTATGACACTGTCTCGTGCCTACTGTGTGGCGGGGTGCGCGGTCATTGCAGCGAGAGCCAAGGGGCGAGAGCGGACGTGTCGCCTGCGCACACAGTGAGTTGCCGAGCCAGTGAGATTGCATTATAGGGGCACTACACAACCAAACGCATTGCCTAGGAATAAGTGAGTAAAGTACCGGATTCAATTTCCAAGAAACTAAAAAAAAGTTAGATCAACTGTCCTGTAAACAAAATCAATCAATTCCATTCGTAGCGCAAGGGGCTCTACGAAGGTAGAATTTAACTTTGGTACCTACTAAAAGTTTTTGGCAGCCCTAGCTCCACATAAACACTTTTCCGTGAATTCATCGTGATCAAACGACTGGTAATAAAGATAGATTAACGGCGGCCCTTCGCAAAAGTTCGAGCAGAGTGGACGTCGGACACAAAATTACCGCGACGCGGTCCAGCTCGGATTTATTGAAATGAATGAATTTATTTAAACGTTTCTTATAATTTTGATACATACTTACAAGAAATGCACCAGAGACAATATTATATTTAATCTGTAGTTTACGCGATAAGTACATATTTAAATAACGCTTTTGACAGTGACTAAGACCCGACGATTCGAATGCTTTGCAGCAATAATGGTCACGGGGGACTAAAGAAATGTGTGTCCCTAATGACGAAGGAAAATCTGCTACGGTAGCGCCATCTGCTTCGTCGTAGTTGATAATTAGAGAAGCTTACTGGGTCTTTACAGAAATGTAGTTTAAATAAATTAAAAAAAGATATTCGGGTCTTACACCGTTTTATTTAAATGTATTTATTTAGAAAAATATAACCTTAAAATAGATTTTGTCAGCCTGACATATTATATTAAATTGATAGTAGGATATTGAAATTCGGCACCACAAAACACTGTCCACAGATGAAAAAATTGTTTTATTTTTCCGGTTTCAGCCTTTGCGTTTTTCAGTACCCAAAGGTAGAATAGGGCGACGGCGCATCTTAATTACATGTTAAAGAGTTGACATATTATTTATTAGAACTACCATAGAGAGTCCTAAGAAAAAAGCCTTCCCTAGAATCGGTAAACCTTTCTACACGATAGTCACCGCCGGAGTTCAATTGCCAGCCAATATATGGAGACGCACAAAAGCAGTAAATAATTTGCTCAGGCGACATCTGGGCTCTTCCTTTTCCCTGTCGCCTGGTCGCTAGGAAATTCGAGGATAAAACAGTCACACCCATCGCTATTGAGTTCTGTATGAGATCTTTTGTATTGTTGTTCAGTGAGCAATATTAAAACAAAAATAGAAAAGAAATTAATTCAAACAAAACACTTTAACGGTTTATAACGCGATATATTTTAGGCAAACTTATTTGAAAATAATTTCCCCCCGTGACCACGGCTGCTGGAAAGTATCCAAAACGTCGGGCTGTTAAAATTATTTTCAAATAAGTTCAACTAATATATATCGCGTTTTAAGCCGTTATAGGGTTTCAGTTAAATATGAACTACTCGTGTAAACTACAGACAGTATTTAGATTTTAACTTTGCGTAAAGGTGTATGTTCAATAGGTTGAAAAAAAATGTAGGACACGGTAGCTCAATTCGGTTGCATCACAGCACGGAAACGTATGGTTCAAGTCCCGCCCGTGTAATAATATCTTTTTGCAGTCTAAAATCTAATTTTTATAATATCGTCATGTGAACATACCTAGTCGTGTCCTGTTGTCTAGTTTTTTATTATGTTATAACACTCGAATAGTATGAGTAGTTTTCAATACACATTGAATAAAATAATTTTATTTGTTTGAAACCCAAATTATATTTCTTATTTTATTTGTAATTTAAATTGTAAAAGCTATACTGGTTTATATCCAAGCTGTCAGTTTTTTTCTATAAATTAATTCAATTATTTGTTTTACCTATCATTTACATGTATTCGCCGGTCATAATAGGGTAAAATAGTCTTGAGATAAACGATGCGTTGTCTTTAGCCCGAGGGGTTCTGGCTTCGAATACGAGAAATACATCGTTTCGGCCGAAAGCCAGATATTTACTTTCCTTCATAATAAAATCGTTCAGTGATCGGCAGTTAAATAATTCGTTGTAGTAGCGTAATATCATTCGAATTTTTCAACCTAAATCGATTTTTGTTTTATATAGGCCATTATCTACACTAACAATAAAATAATGGATCCTGTCTGTCTTTCTTTTTCTTTCTCAAATCATTATTTGATGGGTTATTATTATTAGTTTATTAAAGTTTAAGGAGTCAATAAGTTTTCGCACATGGTCTATTTTAATTAGGATTTTTTCTAGTCGGTTTGCCTGGAAGAGATCGTTAATAGCAATAAGACCGCCCGGTGCACTTTATAGATATTTTTTTATGTATCTTAATTTAATATGTGAAGTGTGAAATAATAATAGAAATTCAAATTTCTCGTTAGTCAAATAGCGTAAGAAAGTTTGTTTAAAACCTTATCAATTTTTTATTTATTTTCTGTGACACAAAGCTCACTATCCTTATACATCGTATGCCCCACCGTGTTACATCTCACGGCCCAATAAGGTCTCGCGTACAGAGCATAAAAACATTCCTGACATGCGCTTGGTAATCAACGGGAGAATCTTCAGCTTACGCGATTTCTTTTTGACAAAGAAATTACGCTGTTTTTTTCTCAATAAAAACGCGTTCATTTCTTTGTAATCTTTGTCTTGTCAAAAGTTTCCGCGATTAGTACATTCTCATAAGACATTGCTGGGCTCCTTGGTAAGCAGTATATGGCTAATTAACAGGTCATAGATTCGATCCCCGACGGCTTTAACTTAGAAACATTCCTAATCAATTTATTCAGAAATATTATATATTGATTAGACACAAGTTGGACCTTGTCTGGAACTCTTGGTATTAAAAGGTGGTCGGAATATAAAAATGTGATCCAGGTCACGAGTGGCCGTCTACAGATGAAAACGCCGTGAAGTTTAATCTTCAGCCCCCCCTCCGTCCACGGCTGCTAAAAGCTCCAAAACGTTGCGACGTATTTAAAATGAAAAACTAAATCATTGGTAATCTAAATACTGTCTATAGTTTACGCGAGTAGTACACATTTAAATAAAACTCATTAATGGTTTAAAACGCGATATATTCTGTCTGTCTGCTGCAAAGCATCCGAAACGTCGGGCCGAAGTTAAAAATCATTTTTTAAACAAGTTTAAGTACTATATCGCGTTTTAAACCGTTAAAATGTTTTATTTAAACATTGCTAATCTCTAGTACTTTCTGGGGCTGTTTTTTTGTATTTGGGAATAACATATTTTGTAAAACAGCACTTTAATGTCGGTCGAGTGGTTAATACATTCGACAGCAGATTACGAGACCATGGTTTGAATCTAGGGGTGTGAAATAAATTATAGTTTACTAACACAAACATAGAAAGCGTCTCCGTATTTAGTTACAGAGTGTAATTTAGTATCATTTTATATTAAAAATTTCGCGAAATAATAATTCTTAAATAACCTTATTTCTACCTCCATAATAACATTTCTCTGTCAGCTACTAATATTAAGCTAAAAAGCTATTAATTTTGATCAACTGACTGCAAACTCAAAGTAAAGCCAGGATAACACCATCACACGATTGTTTCATCCTTTGCAAATAAATTGTCTTATCTATAACAATAAAGACAGATGTTGAGCATCAATTTACCTTTCAAGAGGAAAAAACAGGGAATCATAAATCTTTCACAGCCGTCAAGTAAAGTGTATACTTTAGACGTAACAGGATAAATCAAGTCTTGCGTCATAGATTATATCAGAAAAAATGGGCCCGACAAAAGTGGATTGCCAGAATATAGGGTGGGCGAAATCAAAAAGAATTATTATTACGGCTTGTTACGAGCCTTTGTTGGCGTGTTGTTTGTTTTATGAAAGGAGGGCAAGCACGTACTTCACCAGTGTCCTGATGAAAGGTCTAATACCTATATGATATCTCAGCATGATGCGCTGTCAAACTACTTTGGATATTCGGAAATCCACAGACTAAAAAGGAAACGCAAATAAACGTCCTTACTTTACGCGACTATCCCTACTCACCTATCTAATATGCATATTTCCAGACGAAGTCCAAGATGTTTGAGAAAATCATAAATTGATTAGAAGACATTTTAGTCGAAGGAAGGGTCAAACCCACGATCCAATGCTATTCATTCTACTTTAAGAACTGCGCGCCCGTCAAAAATGTTTACACATTGGCAAGTATATCATTATGTAATTTAAATTTAACCGTTAAAGTGTTTTATTTAAATGTGTACTACTCGCGTAAACTATGGACAGTATTTTACTTAAATTTAAACAAAAATTACACATAAAAGACTATTTTGAAGACGGACATTTTAGTCATTAATTTGTGGGTCTAAGATATACTAGAGAGATTGTAGATTAATTATATAGTCGTTAATAAATTTACTTAAGTTCGTGAATTACGAGTAGATAGAGCTAGCAAATTTCTTCAACTCATTGATGCATGCATCTTTTGAGTAATGTAATTTCCACATTAACTAAATGTAAATGGCCAAATAGGTCGACGGCGTATCTTATTTAGATAGGCAGGAGCATATCGCCTTGCTTATTATCTTTCATAGTCGTAAACAATGCCATACTGAAATATGTATGCGATACATTTATCACCTCGACTGTTCCTTCAAACATCGTTCGCCTTAGTTTAAACTAGCAATATTTTACAACTTAATTTCAAGGCTCTATCTTTTGTTTTAACATACCCCTGTTCCATAGCAAATGTGAGCTATAACTTGGACGAATTTCCCTAAGGGCGAGTGGGTCAAAATCACCCCTGAGGTTGGGTCGTTACTCAGATTACTATCGTACATCCACAGCGCTTCCCTTTTATGGTTCTTACGATAGTGGATTTAGGTCCGTTGCTTTATAGACTTTTGCTAAAATGGCAAAAACATCACTAGCTTATTTTATTCAGTAACATCGTAATAATACACTTAAGATAATACAGTAAAAAGCTCTAAATTCAAATTTCCTACCTGTTCTCAAATTAAAGGCCTAGAACGATAGAAACGAACGAAAACTGTCTAGGAAATCGCCGCCACTGCTTTCTCAAAGGTTTTGTTACAAATTCTTTTTCGCTGTTTCGTTGAAATCCCAAGAACTTTTAACATTTAAATATTGATTTAGGTTATGATAACCGTTTTCTAGTAGTTTTCGCTTAACATTTATATCTATGAACTCAATTTATTTAATTGATATACACCTGGACTCACCCAGCAAACTTGCTGCCTTCAGTCCTCTCAGTTTAATTTATGCTGTATTTTAAGTGCATATACTAGTTATTTAATTGTATATCAGAGCAAGAACCTATGTTTCTAATGTTGTCTTTTATATAAATTAGTCTCCACTCTGTCTTTGCATAACCTAACATGTTGTGTTTGTCTATAATTGTTTTACACAATTTTGTTTCTCTGCCTATTTAAAGTTTAAGTTACATATGTCAGTAATCGTGAAAAAATGTCTTCAGCTCGTAATCTAATAAATAAAGGTGAGTCCTCACGTAACCACGACCCTGCATTAAAACCCGCCGCGTTTAGAGCAATTGCATTTCTGCGAAACATATCCAATATGAATTCAAAACGAGAAACGTCCACAACCGACAATCGCTAACCAATTGAAAAACTACCGCCCGCCAAAATAAAAGCCAGCCAGTATTAAAAAGAGTGAATTTTTCCACCAATAACACATGTGAGTGTGCGCCATAAAAAACTCGGAAACATGTGTTGCAGGGCGTTGACCCGAAGTCAAGTGACCCGTAAATTTTATTGCATGAAGATGCTCATTTTTCTAATCCGAGAGACGCGAACGACATGCAAGTAATACGTTAAATCTAAATGCATACTTGTAATTGTCAGTTTTATCTAATATATGAATTTTCGTGTCAAAGTGTTAGTTACCTCCTTCGAGACAGCTTGACAGACGTTTATGAATTTTTATATGCATATCAGTAGGTCTGGGAATCAGTTGCTATCTATTTATCATATCCCAAAAAACCGTGGCATCAAAAACTACATACAACCCAGAATTTTTATCCTTATATCACCAATCCCTGTTAACAGGTTTTTCAGTAATTGAATAATTTTTCAAATGTATAATTGTTTAATTTTAACGGCTTAAAACCCAAAGGACATTTCGTATGCAAATTTTTTTTCTTTATTTAAACAACGACCCAACGTTTCAAATAATCTACAACAGTTGTCTTTTTTAACCGTTAAAATTGTTTTAAAAATGGTAAAAACTAAAATATGTACTACACATGTTTACTACAGGCTATAGATAATTGGGATAATATTTTGATTAAGCAATTTGGTAACCAAGTAGTACCATAATCACAAACACGTTAAACGTTTGTTTTCAATTTATCGCAGATTAGACACACAAGCTTGATTATAATTTTTCATTCGTTATTCTGTTTTTGTCCTAATTCACATCGCAATAAAGGCTTTATTCCCATTAATATGTTATCCAGTACGTGGCAAAAATTTTTTTCGTTTTATATTAGCAGGGCTTTGATGGTAATGAATTACGTGTGGTGATGGAAAATGATGCATTAGCACAAAACGAGTTTGCACAATGTAATTTAATGAAGTCTACTGAAAAATACCATCGCTGAAATTAACGTTTTCTTTAATATTTTGCACCACAAGGTAGAATAGACAAGAACGAGTTTTGTACAGCTAAGGACCTCGGGGTCTCCCCTTCCTCGGTCAGAAGGGACCCTGGTCTTCTTATTCTTAATTATATATTATTTAATTTAATTTATGTATGCTTAACTTAACTTATTATTATTATGTCTATTATTACTGCTCTTATTTTTTAACAGAAGCCGGTCTATTTTAGATTTAAAGGGAAGAGTGAGTTGTGCAACCTTCCTCCCATTTATACAAAAAAACATAAAAAAAAGCGTGAACTATTGACTTACTGATCTAATTATGGTGTATGCCAAATTAAAGGTAACATGTTTCTTTAATAGCGTTATGATAGCTTATTAAGTTGCACCGTATATTTTGGCTGTAAACCTTCAAAACCACAGAATAAACAAATCAGAATTCACACTTCACTGTGTGGCCGTAGTTAATTTTTGAATTTATAAGTCATATTTATTTTGATTTAAAAAGACGTTGCGGATTGAGCTACTGTATCCGTAGCTCAGGATGAGAAGCTGTAGCTCAATTGGCAATAAACTCTGTGGGTTTATAACGGGCTCGTTCGTATAATGATAGCAATAAACTTATAATCAACGGGTCGTCAAGTCGATCGTCAGCGGGTTCACCATTTTTTTAATCAATTTATTTTTTCTGAAACAATCCAAATCCTATTTCGTACGATTGAAGTACCGCCCGCGTCGTATTTTTAAAAATCTAAATTTTAAAATTTTTAAGTGCAGTAAAAATAAAATTATCGTTTGTATTGTGTTGTGTTTTAACTATAAAACTGAGATACCAGCATTGACCAGTGACTTTCATATTATAGACAAAGCTATTCTAATGCAACAGGAACAATATTGATAACGTATGCGCAGAACAAGTTTTCATATTCCACACCAGGAGCAAAACTGACCATTATTATATTTCTACAGCCAAATAAACTATAACGCGTCTAATCCCAGCTGGCTGGATTTGCATTCAATGAATTTGTTCAAAACATTTTGCCTTCCACTGTATCGCTATTGTGGCTTGTACACAGTTTTCGACCTTAATAAAAGGTAATAAGGATACAGAAGCGAGCAATATAGAATTATTTCGCTTTTAACATTTCTGTTTGCCTGTACGCCCGTTTCAATAGCGTATCTAACTGTAAATATTTGGTATGGTAGTTTCAAAATGAATTGTATGGATTTCTAGTTCGAGATTAGATACTCGCGCTGTAGGTACACGTCTCCGTTTTATTTTTAAAAACATCACTTTAATTATATATACAACAAATAGTTTTCAATATTTATCAATTTATTTTTAAAATAAGAATATCTGCTGTTCTTTGTTGTATCTATAAACACACAGAGATACAGACCTTCATGCTTTTTTTATAAAGAATATAGATAATGCCTTGACCATTTAACATATATTCCCTGGTTTTAAATCCTTGAACAATTAATCATACAATATACATAGCATTACCACCATTATAAAAAGTTAAATCTACTTTACTACATATCTAAGAACATAATTTTAGCCATAATGTATTTTAGTAGTTATGAACATGTCAGGCCAGAGTTCTGAAGTAATTTAGCTCCTACCATAAATCTCTAGGCGCTATTTCGTTGAATTAAACTTCTTTACCTCGTGCTACAAGATCTATTACATCTGAACATTTTATAATGGGCATTTAAATATACCACTCTAGTATTAGTGACACCTTAAAACACATTCTTGAAAAGATGCGCAGATAATAATAATTACAAATTTATTTAAAGTCAGGAGAAAAAATGTTTAAGCAACTCTAATATTTTTGCACATAAAAAAAATACGACAGTGTGGCTACAACCGGCACCACAGCGTTCGTTTCTTTCTAAAACTATTTTTACATTACATTCGGACATGGTTATTCAGTTTCTTTTTGCAAATCATAAGACTAAATAAGAGTGTACACAGTAATTATTGGTAAGAGTGTCAATAAGATTGGGGAAGCTTTTTTAAATGAGTAAAGACTGATAGAGTATAAAAGTAATTTATAACATATTTGCTCGTAAAGTGGATGTAATTACACCAATTTCAATATCGTAATGTATCTCATTACGTACTTGTGCGATAATGTAATGTTAAAATGGCACGTGTTTTTTTTCTTAGCAAAGAGGTCTTATGTCAAGAAAGTGGTCAATATTTTATGTATAAAATTAACTTTGCGAAATAAAATATAACAAATAAAACATTTAATTCTTTAATTTAATTAACTTTGACAATAAATTACAAACATTTATCTATAACAAAAACACAAGAATATTAATTTACTTTATTAGTAATACTGGCTGTTTTTGTACCTTTGCCCAAAAAAAAAAACGTTGATGCGCGCGCATCGCTTATTTGTGGACAAGTAAAAATAATTCCGCGCGCTTTTTCTTTTCGCTATATTGTTCTTATTTGAAAATTCCGTCATTTCCTCGTAAATATGTTATAAAACGTCGTATGACATACGTGCGCTTTGAAAATAACAGCCTCTGCTTACTTATAGTCCTCGTCGATGGCTCGGGCTAGTAATATCGCCTCGGCTGTAATTTTCAACTTACCGCACTTATATCATAATGTACTATTACATAACACAGTTAAATAAACATCCAGAGCTAAAAGTACATCGCCACCGAAACTTAATTTAATGTGAAGTGTTTTGTGTGTGTGTGTGATTTCAATTTTACATGTAATTAACAGAATGCTTATGTGTTACAAAAAAGTGTACGTGCATACGAGTTACATAGTAAACAACTATGGCTCAAGTATCACTTGAGCTATCTACAAAATGGCACCTAATAGTTCAACGTGGTCTCGACTCTGTGACCGAGAGGCTTAATACTCATTACACTGTACTCTTGAAGCCACTAGAAACAAGCGTCGTTAGCTCCGGTAAGGATAAAAGGAATCTGTTTTAACTGCGATCGACCGGTGCTTATGTTTTGGAAAATTCAACTTTCAACCACTAGTATTTCGTATCATAAGTGAGAATTTTTATTATGTTTTAAGTTAAAAATAAATTTGTACAAGACCCCCCCCCCCCTTTTTGCGTCCCGTTTGCCGCTGTGGGGCAGACACGTTTTGCAATAAGTGAATCATCTTTATTTACCGGCAAGTAGTTGATCTTATTTACTTTAATAATTTTGAAAGTGGGACCTCTCGCAGTTAACGCAATGCCAGGCTACGGTCTCTTCGTACTACATATTTATCAATTTAAAAAATTACTACCTGACCCGGAAAATAATACTAGTTTTACTAAAATGGCTATTAAATAATAAGGGTTGATCGTACGATGGGTACATACATTGTATGTATTTCTGTATGTTGTATCATAAAAAAAATTTTGTCTACAAAATAAATAAAAAAATTAGGGGTGGACTACCCGTTTACCTCCGTTTACCTCATAGATACCGGATAAGAAAAAAACAATTACATGAAAATCGGTCAAGCCGTATCGGAGGAGTATGGCAACGAAAATTGTGAAACAAGAATTTTATATATTAGATATTCAACTAATGAAGAATCAAAATGTGCACATGTTTATGCAGATAAGAGCTTGCTTATATATTTTAAAAATTATGGAAACTTTGGTACTAGCCGGAAGCAATGATAGGTCGAGCAATAGCTGTAAAATAAGAATTGTATCGTCTTAGGTTCAATTACTGCTAATTATATATAACTTTTATATATTTATCCATTTATACAAAGAAGTCAGTACGTTTTCTACTTGTCATAGTTAACTGACTAAAGCAAAAAAAGGTTTTGTTTTTCGCTTGATACAATGAAAATGATAGTGCTGGTCGATTTTACTATTTATTATGTTATGTATGTTTTAATATACATATATGATGAAGATTCGCTTCTAATATCGACTAGAAAGCAGTTATTTACTGTTAAATATATAACATGTAGTATACACAGTAAGTAATGTTTAAATAATGTTGCAACACCTTAAGCTAAAAATATACTAATTAAAAATATAACCTGTTATTTATGCACTGCACCATGAATTACAAAGCATAAATTATTCTTTTGAAAGCGTAACGTGTTATAATTTCAAAGAGGGCAGCAATTAAGTGCCTCCGATAAATTTTAACAGTGGACTTATCAACGCTATGCAAATTAAGAATATAAAAATGGTAAATTCATCGGGCGAGAGTGGAAATTTATCGATTGCGTTACATCGGCTTAGAAGGTTGTAGATACAAAGATAAGCTCAAGCATTCATTAAGCATTGTCTTTACATTTTAACGGTCTAAAACGCGATATATTAGTCAACTCATTTTAAATTTATACTTACTATGACCCGACGTTTTCCGTAACCACGATTGCTGCAAAGTATCCGAAACGATACGTTAGAAGTGTTTTGTATCGACCACTAGTTATTATCATCGTTTTTTATGAGAAAAGTCAATAAATGAGTTTATATACTATATATAATACAATTATTGAAATGACTGAAAAATAATACAACTAATCTCGACAAGATTCATCATATTCAATTAAACGTTTTTTAAATATTCCATCATATCATTAGTAGCAGCCAGGTGTTTGGAACTTATCACCATCGTGATACGCACAGCATGTTGGATCATGGTGATGGTGGCGATAATCTATGTACCAGAGAAGCAATTTGTCCAGAAGTGGAACATTAATAAGATTGAACAAATACAAATGGAAAAGAATTAGTGTTAGTTCTTTTGTTGATCCAGAACGGATTTTAAAATCACGGAAATCCACAAGCCTCACTGTTTGGCCAGCACAGAACGGATGGCCACTCTGAAACACGTTTTCGAGCCCCGCAAGATTTACTGACACATCGAATCTAACTGCAGGTCAACGGAGCCTTTGGGACGATGGCAATTTGCGAGCGGGAACGCTCCATTTCAGATTTTTACACACCCTTTGCTTTAATTGCGATTCCCACTAATTCCGAATCCGCACTGTTCAAATCTCTCACTACGACATCCATTGCTGCTTTTGTTGACTAATCATTTATATATCTACAACTAAAGAAGTGATGGAACGCTATTGAAAGAATTTAGTAGGTTCTTCCAGTGTTTTGGTGAAGGATAAATAAATGATAGTACCGTTCGGGTGGTCGAGGCGACTGTCGTAAAGCTCACGCATTCAATTACTCTTCGTGGCGCGTTTTTTCGATCACCGCTGGACAGAAGATTACAATGGACGCAATATAGGATTTATATGTAATTGAACATATTGGCTCAACCCTTAAATTGATTAGCTCAATTATTATTATGAGCTAAAATGTAACATAGTTACAAAGACAAGTATACTTCTATTAAAGGCCGGCGACGTATCTCCAAAAAGATTTTTACAAAAATCTCCAAATCTAAGTACCCACTTGTTTGTATTTTTATTTAAGATTTTAGCCGACTCAGATTTCCACTTGAATTCAGATAGTTAGGTCCCGAATCTCTTTATATTTTTTAAATATACTTATGAATCAAATAGAAACTTAATTTCATTATGTTAGGGATTCACTATTTTAATTAAGTAAAGTAAACATAAAAAATATAGGTTTTGTGATCTCTAAAAATGACGGTCGGAATTGATATTTATTTAACTTTTAATAATTATATTAAATTTTCAGATATTCAACAATGAATAAAGAAAAGAATAAATGGTACAAAGATACTGAATCAACGACCTCTGTCTATAGTTTACGCGAGTAGTACACATTTAAATAAAACACTTTAACGGTTTAAAACGCGATATATTAGTTAAACTTGTTTGAAAATTATTAAATTTTTTAACTTCGGCCCGACGTTTCAGATGCTTTGCAGCAGCCGTCTCCCCGTGACCACGGCTGAATCATTTTCAAATAAGTTTAACTAATATAGCGCGTTTTAAACCGTTAAAGTGATTTATTTAAATTAGCGATCTCTTTTAATTTAGAATTTAAAAATAATATGCATTTGAGTATTTAGCGACGTTATAATCGTGTTTGAAGGTTAGTTGAAGTTAGAATTTCAAAAAAATAACACAACTTTTCAAAATAAAATACGTTCTAAAACGCAAAACATATTAGTCAACTCATTTATTATTTATTTTAACTACGACCCGAAGTTTGGCCTTCGACAGACAACACTTAGGATATTTAAATACACTCTTAACGGTTTAAAACACGAAATGCATAGGATAAACTTATTTATAATTTATTTTAACTACAACCCAAGGTTTATCGTCGACAGACAACACTTAGGATATATAAAAAAAAAAAAACACTTTTAAATGTTTTAAACTGGAAACTTTTTAATGTTAAATTTGTAGTTAAATTACTGTAAAATTTAACTACGACCGGAAGTTTTGTCGTCTACGGACAACGTTAAGGTTATTGAAATATAACACTTTTAACGGCTTAAAACCCGTAATACCTTAGTTAAAGTTATTTAACTACCGCCAAATGTTTCGGATGCTTTGCAGCAGCCGTGGTCATTTACGGTATATAATTATTGTAGCACAATTAAATACAAATTTGTTGCTAAAATTCATCTCCTCTTTAAAAACGAAGTGTCATAGACGCGGGCGTCGTGTTTGAAAATAATTTTCCTGAGCCAAATCCCTCGTGAACTAAAAACCCTCACCTCCCGTTTCGTATTTTTCCACAATACATATTTAAATGCAATAAATCTTCAGAGCTGTCTCAGTGAGTTAAGCCTTTTGTTCCCGAGATGTAAACTTTACGACGGCCCCTAAAGGATATGAACAATGAAATTAAATTAATATGATACGGACGAAGGTCGGGCGCTGAGGACGATATTATAATTTTGTCATAACATGAAGGATACTTTTGTTATTATAAAAAATAAAACATAAAAAAAGGTCAACGAAAATGTAAAAAGAAGTACAGCGTTGCCTCCATAGCATAATGGTGTATTTATTAAAAAATATTATTCTCCCTGTGACCACGGCTGCTGCGAAGCATCCGAAATATCAGGGCATAGAGTTTAATATAATTTCCAAATTAGTTAAGCTAATATATATGGCGTTTTAAACCGTTTAAGTGTTTTATTTAAATGTGTACTACTCGCGTAAACTACAGACAGTATTTAAAATTAATATTTACATATACCTACTTTTATAAATTCACACAGGGTGGAATATAACATAGTATTGAGTTAAATTGAAAGGTCGTGGGTTCGAAGCCTAAGCAAAGCAATATTTTTTTTAGGTCTGGTAGGCACAAAAATCAACTGAACACAGGAATGTGTTCGTCCTATTTTCCATGCCAAATTGGTTGAATTAGAATTTTAAATTTTGTATATTGTTATATTTTTTTTGTTCTCAAGTACTGGGGTATAAGGGATAACTTAATTATAGGAAAAAAAATAGAATTTTTAAGTTATTAATCTGCAGATCCCAGTCCAGGGTACTAATCAGGGGTGGAAATATTTTAGTTCAACATGAAAAACTGGCCTTATAGACAAGACCCGAGTATCAACTAACTTATGTTCAGTGGTCTTTTAAGCTAACACTGGACTACCGGGGTGTGTGTGTTCTGTAAAAATTCAATACTTACATTTTTAACGAAATACGCAAAAAAATGTCTACTGTCTGTCTGTATAAACCCAAAAGTAAAGAATATCTTATTACAAAGTCGCTATAATCCAATTTACATAATTACCCTCGACCATTAAATATATATTATGCAAATCCAGAAAGTTTTTGGGAGTTTTCCCACCTAATTGAAGGTTTTGCACTGTTCTGAGGATGACACCTACACGAAAATGATACGAAATATCTACGCTACTCGAGTTTTAATTGCATACAAACTCACTAACGAATTTTGCGCTGTTAATTGCTTGTTAAAACTCCTTACCTGGATTATGCGCTTTTATATTTTAAAGTTATGTAATTGAGCTATTTATTTGAAATTAAACACTTTTAACGGTTTAAAATGCGAAATATATAAGTTAATTTATTTACACAGTGGTACTTTTTAACGAAAGTTAAAAGTGCTTTATTTACTCGCGTAAACTACGGTTTAATAATGTATTCCATAAAAAAATCGCTACGAACGAATAATACAAAACTAACATAATCTGTAAACGATGGCCTCGGAAATTTGATAATTAAACGTGTTGCCGAGCATAAAGCTCGAGAAGTCCTGGGTTCTAAATACCGGGAAACAAAAGATTGCTTCGGTTGGACAAAGCACAGACCTTTGCGTTTGCCTCTTAATGAACGGGTCAGTGAAACGGACTCAGAAATATGTTCGTCTCTCCTCGCCTTCTCGACGTTTCGTCATCACGAGTGGATGACAAGGCATTTTGAGCGTACCTCAACGTCGATAAGCATATCTCCATCATAACGACTAAACAACTCTAAAAACCAAGTAGATTTGCAAAAAGTCCTTACTTATTTTCTACTAATATTTAAGGCAATAGTTAGTAGCATGTACGACGTAAAACAAAGTAGATGTTAACGCTCTAAGCGCAATTGTCCGAAAGAGATATGACTAAAAATAGATGACCCATAAATCAGCCGCGTCGCTTTACATTTTCCATTTTGGCCGTGCGATTTCGTGCGAAATTCACCAATTTTATTGTTTCCCCGCTAAGAGTTAAGAGATTAGCGCGGAAGCCTATAACTGCGGCAGTAAAAAACAGCCTCAGCGGCTATATTTTCCCGCGGTACCTTTTTCGGTATGCTTTTCCATTTGAAAAGATACGTTTATTCATTTATACGTGGTTGTGGAGCGGTGGGATGTCAGCCCAGGGTTTATGTGTTCCGTCCTCCTCTTTTGTTTGTCGCAGAATTACGAGGCTCGTGCGCGTGGCTTTGTTTTTCGTTTTCAATTAGTTGATTCTATTTTAAGGGTAGCAGGTGGGGATTTCGACTAACCGTTACTCAACGTATATGCTACTTTATCTACAAATGATGCGCCCTCCATGGAATAATACTTAAATGTACACTTGTCTAGCATTTGATAGTGCCTAGGAAACCTTCGTTACTTCGAAAACCTGAATAAGACGTTTACGTATTTTTTTATTTTATTTCACATGTGAAATATTTATATAACTATAAATTTATATAAATTTTTTTAAGCTACCCAAAAATTATATGACATTTAACCTAAAAATGTAAGTATAAAAATTGATATAACATTGTACAATAGTTTAGCAATATTGGTCGTGGGGTCGTGGCCTACTTGTGTCATTCAATACTTTCAATGTAATAAATTTCTAATTTATAATTAATTATTGCAATCAAGCATAAAAGATCAAAAATATACTTTTAAATGAAAATCAAGTTTGCCTTATTTACTTGACACACAATTAAATTACAAATAATAAGCACTTTAGAATGTGTGATGCATTATTTAGGTGCGTAATTGCGAAACAACATGAACTGCATAATGCTATGCAAAAGTTTTTAATGAAAAGCTTTACACCTTTTTATTATAATTTTGCATTCATGCATAAGTAGTTCGCTCACATCGTGAGGCGTGACGTAAGATTGTATATTATGCAGAATTCTATAGAAAGACTAAGGCTGTAGTCTCCTATAAATGCTATAATTTGCTTATAGAATTACGTCGCTAGAAATTATAAATATTCACCGTTGTGGAGTGTCTTGACATTTATCAATTATGGAATTTAGCACTTGGTTATTTGACTCGTTCTAATCGTCGTCGAATATATATAACATAAATAACCATTACC